CTATTCATATCTTGCCTGCATTAATGGGTTTGAATAGGATGGGATAGAGATAAGAAGCATATGATTGTGGTTTACAATTTATATCTCTGGAGGTAGTAACTTTTACCCTCAAAAAAGCAATTTTAATCTATGTGCATCTAATTCACAAAAGCATGGATTCACTAACCAGATGTGATGTTTTTCATCTACTTTGGCTTGATCTGAAACCATTTGTCATGACGTGTTTAATACTCTTTTATCTTTTGGTGTTAGATTATTTGCTGCAGTCAGCTTCTCCCTTGTTACCTGGCTGCTGCCAGTGCTCAGTCAGTTGTAAGGAGATGTCAGTTCCATTAATAATCCTAGCACAGTGCAGACAGATTGTGGAAGACCGGAGAAGGGGAAATTATATTTAACCCTGAGTTTCCAGCTGTCATTCTATTTCCAGAGAACAGCATAGTCCAAAATATTAACCGAACTGTGTGAGATCAAAATACTTGTGGCTATGCTCATTAGCTATCTAAAAACAAAAATATGCATGTAACAAATGCATACTTGTATACAACAAATGTATACAATAAAGCAAGGGTCCCCAACCCCCAGTCCATGGACCAGTATCGGGCTGTGGCATGCCAGCAATCGGTCTGCACAAACAAGCAAAACCCCATCCACGGGATTTGAGGCAGCACACAAAACCACACACTTTGTGGTCCATGGGAAAACCTCTCCATGGAACTGGTCCCTGGTGCCCAAAAGGTTGGGGACCTCTGCAATAAAGAAGAGCTTGGAGTCAACAGTTATGCAACAAATAAACAGCATAGTAATAATTATCATAGAAGAACACAGTCTACATTAGGCAGTGACTGGAACTTGGATTTCTCTTAGGTATCGGATAACAATATCATTCTAGTAAGCAGTGAAGAATGAAAAAAATCAGCAGAGTGCAGTATAGATAAAAAGTTTTTTTAATGACTAAACACAGCTTAAATAAATTCCTTATGCTCTTTATTAAACATAGATGCAATTCCTATTTGGCCACATTATTAGTGTAAAATGCTGGATTGGAAGGCTGTCTTGATACTTAATGTAGTCAAATGAAATAGATTTTAGACATCATCCACATTTCTTCCATTCATTTCCTGATGCATTCTTTAATGCATTCCACATTGCAATGAACATAAATTCAGTTTCATAGCTACTAAGATTGTGCAGGTACAACACAATGATTGAAGCCTGGGAAATGGGCCCTTGTCAGAGTATTGATTTACAACCAATTTATCAGGTACTTAGGAGCCAAGGGCTTGGCGGCAAAAGGAAACAATAGCCAGTTGCCAACCATCAACACACCAATCAACCAATAGGAAGGCACCACATAAATACAACTCATAGAATAGCCCAAAGCATGCGTTCCAGTGAGAGAGAAATTCCCCAAGAGGATGGGGGCTCCAGCACGAGTCTGAAAGCTTGGAAGAGGAAACCTCTGATGCTGATGACCGACCCAGATTGGATCTTACATTCCATAATTATGCATGATTTTTATTTATTGTCAAAGACTCAGGTACACATCCCAAAGTGATGTGGAAGACCTACACCTTAGTTGGGTGTAATAAATTCAATGTAGTTTAGTTTAAATAAATGTCTTTTTACTCTATTTATTTAATTTAAATAAAGGTCTGTTTATTCTACTTCGGACATATCTCTTATTGTAATAAAACATACACTCCTTTTATATAAAATATAAGAAACACTGATAAATTTAATTTGATACCAAACTAGATGTGGGATTGCCAACCAGGAGGTCCAGTTAGAATTTTTCCTATGATCACACAATGACACAGAATGGTTAAAAATCATTTACATATGAAAAAGACCCACAAACATAGAAATATAATATTCATCTTATCTATTATGTTCTTCAGTCATCCTATAATGATTGCTCACTTCATGGATTAAGAGAGGACTCAGTTCCCAGACCTATCCAGGAAGTATGGAAATTAATAAATATGGATGTATATTATACTGTATAACATTATACAGTAATGTTTCTTTTTGATGACCTATTGATTATGTTTTAACATCACCACCCCCAGATTCAGATGATGTTATACAGCCTAGTTCTGATTTGAAATATCTTTAGCCTTGGCATTTGATCAATATTTACAGCAATTAGTTCACTTGGAAATCATTCACCAGGTTGGGACAGTTCATCCACTTTCATTATCTTCCAAACTTTGTAATTAGTCATGCTGCAAAATGAGTAGGTGTTTTCTTTAAAGGTCAAAATTTATCAGCTCTTAAAGTTATTATTCTCCTTCTGTTTGCTTAATGCTCTATACTGAAAAGCATGAACACAACACAAAGTTGCTTAATTGCTTTAAATGACTACTTTAGAAGACATGCAAGACCTCTATGACTTACCTAAGTCATTTAAAAAACTAGATCAGCAGAAATTTCAGCATTTTTTTTCCTACTTGCCCTTTTGTGTTGAATATAAGAAGAGAAAACAATCAGGTATTTTAACCTAACAGTAATTACACAGTGTCAATCAGTCATATACCAAACAACAATAAGATATGGTTTTTCTTGATAATAATAAAAACCTGTGAGGCTCTGATGCTCCTTTTGGAAAATTAAGAAGAAATATTCTCTTTTGTTATTTACTTCATTTCCCAGTTTGTTCTGTATGGCATTTGTCTTCTATTGTTTTTCTGTCACTGAGATCATTTGCATGACAATGGGATCTGTCTTGCTTAAGGATTCATCTGTTTCTGCTGCTCCTGCTGTTAATCTCCCACCTGTTTTCTGCAGGATGTCACGTATTAATTATCTCAATTAATTGTAAAGTCAAGATATTTCCACAAGTGACAAATAAATACCTGGGGTTAGCATGATTAGCCTAACAGAATTTATTGCCAGAGGGAGTAGCTAAAGGCCAGCCATTGAAGTTAAAGTGTATTGCTATAGTACCCAAGAGGTCAGATTATTCTGTGTGTAAGACAAGATAGCAGGATTTTTCTGTTTCCAGGTGGTAAGATATTCATATTAAAATTCATTTAAATCATTTACAATCTGTGTGTATGACGTTCAAAATTTTTGCCATGTCTGCTTTAGTCTGCATAATAAAAAAATTGGCCATGTGGGCTAGAAAACTAAGGAATTTTCAGAAACTGAATGGCAACATTTCTTTTATAACTTGATCTTTTTGAGCACTTCCTCTTAGCCAAAAATGAGAACTAGAAAAGTCCCCCCCAAAGTAAAAGAACAATGAATGCTTATCCTTATCTCCCCATAGTGATCAGTACAGGTAGTCTTCAATGTACGACCACAATTGTGCCTCAAAGTTCTGTTGCTAAGTGAAACATTTAAGTGAGTTTTGCCCCATTTTACAACCTTTATTTCCACAATTGTTAAGTGAATCACTGTAGTTGTTAAATTAGTAACATAGTTGTTAAGTGACTCTGGCTTCTCCATTGACTTTGCTTGTAAGAAGGTTGCAAAAGGTGATCACATGATCTCAGGACACTGCAACAGTCTTAAATGTGAATCAATTGCCACGTGTCCGAATTTTGATCACATGACCATGGAGATGCTGCAATGGTCATAAGTGTGAAAAAGTCACTTTTTTCAGTGCTGACTGAACAGTCACTAAATAAACTGTTTTATATTGAGGACTACCTGTATGTTTCTTTAGAGAGATCAAGCACTATTAAGCTTAACCGACTGGTTCCTACAGAATCTCATCTTCTGTCTAATTTACATTTACATTTAGCCAGGCTATAATCTGGGCTACAAAAATCTGGATAACCACAGGATGGCAGCAGCCCCTCACCTATTCAGAAAATTCTTTTTGCTTATCAGTTCAGATATGATGCTCCTTGTTGCCTCCCAGTATTGTAGGAAGATTCAATATATGCTCCTGTGAAGCTGAATCTGGCCACAGGTAACTTCTGTATCAAGGCAGAGGGACAAAGTCTCACCTGGGTTTTGCATCAAAATCCAAAATCTCTGATACTTGGAGAATTGTTTATTTTTTCTGACACAGTCAAAAGACTGGTTAAACGTGTATCTGAAAAGCTTCTTATTACAGTACTCTGTGAATGCAGAAAATATTACCTTTTTTCCTGACACAGAGAGGCAATTATATTTTCCCAAAGGTAAACAGGGCATGCTTGCACCCTGCACAATATAAATAAAGTATTCTTTAACCTAGAAGATGTATAGACAAATAATTCTACTTACTGAACTCTAATCTAGTCAATAGATTCACTCCCACACATTATATTTGAAGGGTTTTCAGATGGCTTTGCTTGTTTTATATGTTGTTATCCTACATGAAAGAGAGTTCCTACCATCTGGTTTGAATTAAAAGTCATAACAGTGTTCCTCTCCCCCTCATATAGGATGTCTAGATTTGAACAATCTGTACATAAAAACTGCTTATCATAGAACCAATCATTATGCTGTATATATTACTATCTTTAAGGGAGGAAAAAGTAACTGCTGAGCAGAGACACTACAAAGCCAAATTTGGAGTCCCTTGGTTGAGAAGAAAGAATGCAGTGTAAAATATTTTGCACAGCTTCATAGACAAAGAATTTTTTTTAGATCAGATTAAAGCAAGGTACACAGTAGGATGAACAGTGAGCAGAATAGGCTAGGGAGTGTCCCCCCCTCCCCCCGAAAAAAAACACATTTCCCAAGACTCAGCCCTGGAACACTAGTGTTTATGAGCAACATTTGACTTGTGACAACTACATATTTTTGCATGAAAAGATCCATCTCCATCTAACCATCTCCAACCTGGATTTTTGAAAAATAACAGAAGTTTTTTATACTTACTATGGATAAATAACATTCTGCAGGTTATTTGTTATTGTTCTTTGCAGGAAAGTAAAATACAGATTTCCTGTTTTTAAAGCTAACAACAACTGCGAGCGCAATTAAGATTACCATATGATTTAAAATTTACTTTAAATGGTCATCCTTGTCTTTGTTGTGTTTATCCATTTTTTTTTCTAAAGGCAAAATCAGTTTTGGCAAAAGTGGGTTATCCTGGATTTATAATGAATGATACATATGTTACAGAAGGCATCAAAACAGTAAGTTTTATTTTATTATTTTCAATTATTACTTGTTGCAATTATTGTTATAATATAAATTACAAATGCATATATGTTCATATGCTCATTCACCATGTAGAATGTTCAAGATTTAACCAGAGCAAAGAGTATTATAAATATAAATTACAAAAGTCTAGTGCTAAATGCAATCACCCTCCCATTACAAAGCCTCCTCTCCCTCATGCAGCCTACCTTCCTTCCTTGTCCTTGTCTCTGCCCTGCTTTTTCAGGATATATTAATGCTATGCACACAATTAATTCCCACTGGAAGTAAAGGAGTAATAACTTTTAAGAGCTTCATTGATGCATGTCTTCAGTTATATAAGTTTGCTTTGTACATTTCTTGAGTTCCACTTAATTGCTCACATTATTTACATGACATCTTTTGTTAAGCATCATCACCTCTCAGGAGAACCAAATGTTTTTAATTGAAACAAATGATGATGAGTAAGTATCCTAAGATGTATTTAATCTCTGAAGAGAAGTGTAAGCCTCATATTTAGCTGTTTGTTTTGCAATATACGCAGTAGCTATCTTCAAAATAAAACAGTGATTATTGTCAACCGTGTTGCTGAAGCAAATTAATGGCAACTGCAGTCCACTTACTGAATCATAATTCTACTACTAATTTGTTAAATATCCAGCAAAGTAAAAAAAAAAAAAAAAAAACAGAGCTCCAAGTATATTGTTTGGCAGGTCTGAAAATTGTACTAAACTATTGATACTCTTAACTGTAGGGTCTGAGTTTAAAACTGTGATCTTATCATATTTCTATTTTTTTTTGAAGTTGCCAGCAGTTATATTTTTAAGTCATTTCCTCAATGTTCTAAAATATTTATTAGCTCTTAAAGGTCATAATCTGAAAATGAGTTAAAATTTAGCTGATGGAAGCATTAAAATTTTTTAAAAGAAGACCAATTTTATGTTTGCAGCTTGTTTATTTTTTGGTTCCAAATATTTCATATTTAAAAATATAATTAGTTTTCTTTCAGATGTCAAGATTATTAACTTTCCTCAAATATGATTCAAGGAAGGGATTTTAAAGTATACTTGTTCTTCCACATTTTTATACTATTCACCATAAAAATGCATTCCATAAATAGCCATCAAAATGCATGCAGTACCAAGCTCTAGAAGCAACAGTGGAATAATTATGTTAAGTTATCCAGTGTGCCATATGTTGGGCAAAACCACTTTGTTGTCTATGAAATTTCCTAGTATATGCTCACATGGCAATATTCACTAATTTTCTAATGCAGAAAGACAATTCTATTCATTTAAAAATAAGATCATCTTGCAATTATGTATTTATAGAACTCATGGAAACAGTGTGGTGTTAAAACACCATTTTCTTTTCAACAGAATTGCATTGCTTTCCAATTTATATACAATACAGAAAAGCACCAAAGTTATTGGACACATAACCAACATATTTTGAAGTTAACATTCATAGGGGAAAATTCAGTTTGAAAAACGGTATTATTGTAGAAGGATTGGCAGAGCTTGGAGTGGAGTCAATGAGAAATCAGCCTAAAGTCTCTGTGGACCTTTGACTAAGTCCAACCCTTCTTGAATTTCACTGACTTTTATCTAATGACAAGATAGTGTTAGCCATTAGTTGAGTAGATTCCTGTGCATAGGCATGATTAGTAATAAATCAGTTTAACTGGAACTTCATGTGTGGTCTTGATCTTTCACACCTGACAATTATACACTATTATACTGTTACATTCATTTTTCTCATCATGCACACATATACATAACCTGTACTAGACTGTTGTTTCTCTGAGTCATATAATATATGTGGGTATATGCATAATTCTGTATTTATTTTGTTGTTGTTAATTGCAAAGTCATGTCCGACGCATCGCGACCCGATGGACAACGTTCCTCCAGGTCTTCCTGTCCTCTACCATTTTCTGGAGTCCATTTAAGTTCACACCTATTGCTTCAGTGACTCCATCCAGCCATCTCATTCTCTGTCGTCCCCTTCTTCTATTGCCCTCAATCTTTCCCAGCATTAGGCCCTTCTCCAGTGAGTCCTTCCTTCTCATTAGGTGGCCAAAGTACTTGAGTTTCAACTTCAGGATATGGCCTTCTAAAGAGCAGTCGGGGTTGATCTCTTCTAGGACTGACCGGTTTGAACGCCTTGCAGTCCAAGGGACTCGCAGGAGTCTTCTCCAGCACCATAGTTCAAAGACCTCAATTCTTTAGCGCTCAGCCTTTCTCATGGTCCAACTTTCACAGCCATACATTGCAACTGGGAAAACCATGGCCTGGACTATACGCACTTTTGTTGGCAGGTGATGTCTCTGCTTTTTAGAATGCTGTCTAGATTTGCCATAGCTTTCCTCCCCAGGAGCAAGCGTCTTTTAATTTCTTGGCTGCAGTCCCCATCTGAGGTGATCTTGGAGCCCAGGAAAATAAAATCTGTCACTAACTCCATTTCTTCCCCATCTATTTGCCAGGAATTGAGAGGGCCGGATGCCATGATTTTGGTTTTCTTAATGTTGAGTTTCAAGCCAACTTTTGCACTCTCCTTCTTCACCCGCATCAAGAGGCTCTTTAGTTCCTCTTCAATTTCTGCCATTAGAGTGGTATCATCTGCATATCTTAGGTTGTTGATATTTCTCCCGGCAATCTTAATTCCAACTTTTGATTCATCTAGCCCTGCCTTTCTCATGATGTGCTCTGCATATAAGTTAAATAGGCAGGGCGACAGTATACAGCCTTGCCGGATTCCTTTTCCAATTTTGAACCAATCAGTGGTTCCGTGTCCAGGTCTCACTGTTGCTTCTTGACCCTCATATAGATTTCTCAAGAGACAAATGAGATGGTCTGGTACTCCCATCTCTTTAAAAACTTGCCACAATTTGTTGTGATCCACACAATCAAAGGCTTTTGCATAGTCAATGAAGCAGAAGTAGATGTTTTTCTGGAACTCCCTAGCTTTCTCCATGATCCAGTGTAGGTTGGCAATTTGATCTCTAGTTCCTCTGCCTCTTCGAAATCCTTCCTGTACTTCTGGTAGTTCTCGATCCACATACTGCTGAAGTCTAGCTTGTAGGATTTTAAGCATAACTTTACTAGCATGTGAAATGAGTGCAATGGTGCAATAGTTTGAACATTCTTTGACATTGCCTTTCTTTGGAATTGGAATGTAAACTGACCTTTTCCAATCCTGTGGCCACTGTTGAGTTTTCCAAATTTGTTGGCAAATTGAGTGTAGCACTTTTATTGCATCGTCTTTTAAGATTTTGAATAGCTCCGCTGGAATACTGTCACCTCCACTAGCTTTGTTGTTGCTCAGATTTTCTAAGGCCCATTTCACTTCACATTATAGGATGTCTGGTTCGAGGTCAATGACCATCTCATTGTGGTTATCTGGGATGTTAAGCTCATTCTTGTATAGTTCTTCTGTGTAGTTTTGCCATCTCTTATTAATCTCTTCTGCCTCTGTTAGGTCCCTGCCATTTTGGTCCTTTATCATGCCCATCTTTGCATGAAACGTTCCCTTCATATCTCCAATTTTCTTGAAGAGATCTCTGGTCCTCCCTATTCTGTTGTTTTCTTCTATTTCTTTGCACTGTTCATTTAAGAAGGCATTCTTATCTCTTCTAACTATTCTCTGGAATTCTGCATTCAATTGGGTGTATCTTTCTCTTTCTCCCTTGCCTTTCACTTCCCTTCTTTCCTCAGCTATTTGCAAAGCTTCCTCAGACAGCCATTTTGCTTTCTTGCATTTCTTTTTCTTTGGGATGGTTTTAGTTGCTACCTCGTGTACAATGTTGCGAACTTCCATCCATAGTTCTTCAGGCACTCTGTCTATCAGATCTAATTCCTTAAATCTATTTGTCACCTCTACTGTATATTCATCAGGGATATGATTTAGTTCATACCTGAGTGGCCTAGTGCTTTTCCTTACTTTTTTCAATTTAAGCCTAAATTTTGCAACAAGAAGCTCATGATCGGAGCCACAGTCAGCTCCTGGTCTTGTTTTTACTGATTGTATAGAGCTTCTCCATCTTTGGCTGTAGAGCACATGGTCAGTCTGATTTCTATGTTGACTGTCTGGTGATGTCCATGTGTAGAGCCATCTCTTGGGTTGTTGGAAAAGAGTGTTTGTTATGACCATCATATTCTCTTGACAAAATTCTATCAGCCTGTGCCCTGCTTCATTTTGTACTCCAAGACCAAACTTGCCTGTTATTCCGGTTATCTTTTGGTTTCCTACCTTAGCATTCCAGTCCCCCATGATGATAAGGACATCACTTTTTGGTGTTAATTCTATAAGGTGCTGTAGGGCTTCATAGAACCGGTCAATTTCATCCTCTTCAGCACCAGTGGTTGGGGCATAGATTTAGATTTAGATATTGAATGGTTTGCCTTGGATTTGCACTGAGATCATTCTGTCATTTTGGGGATTGTATCCCAGTATTGCTTTTCCTATTCTTTTATTGACTATGAAGGCTACTCCATTTCTTCTGAGGGATTCTTGCCCACAGTAGTATACCTGATGGTCATCTGAATTAAATTCACCCATTCCTGTCCATTTTAGTTAGCTGATTCCTAAGATGTCGATGTTCAGTCTTGTCATCTCTTTTTTGACTACGTCTAGCTTGCCTTGATTCATGGATCTTACATTCCAGGTTCCTATGGAGAAAAAATCTTTACAGCATCGGACTTTCCTTTCACCACCAGATATAGCCACAGCTGAGCGTCCTTTCGGCTTTGGCCCAGTCGCTTCATTCTTTTTGGCGCTACTAGTACTAGCCCTCTGCTCTTCCCCAGTAGCATATTGGTCACCTTCCAACCTGAGGGGCTCATCTTCCAGCGTCATATCTTTTTGCCTTTTAGTACTGTCCATGGGGTTTTCATGGCAAAGATACTGGAGTGGGTTGCCATTTCCTTCTCCAGTGGATCACATTTTGTCAGAACTCTCTGCTATGACCTGTCCGTCTTGGGTGGCCCTGCACGGCATAGCTTACAGCTTCATTGAGTTATACAAGCCCCTTCGCCACGACAAGGCAGTAATCCATAAAGGGGTGTATTTATTTATTTATTTATTTTTGTCATAATTATGTAGTGTATATTGGAAGAGGTGACCCTTTGAGATCTGAATGCAATGAAATTTCATTTTAATGTATGCCCATTAGTGTACATTCACAGTGACAATAAAATTAATATTCTATCCTATATTCTATTCCACATAGATAGGCAACCAATAGTACAAGGTAGTTGTTTCAAATATCTAGCAATAGTTATCAATTTTACATGTCAATTATGCTACCATAGCAGTTCAGAAAAGAATGGCAGCCCTTCTAGGATTGTTTTAGGAATTAGGGTGGACATATACCTGTAACCAACAGATTATTTCTTTCAAAATTGGTAGTACAATTCTTTATGGTGGGTGCAACTGAACCCCGGCATAAAATTCTAATTATATGAAATAATACAATCATTCTTTCTGAGAGCCATATTTTCTACACCTAGAAGTACATCCAATGTTGTATTTAGAATAGAAGCTGGTTGATTAGCACTGAAACAAGTGTTAGGAACTAATCATATCTTTCTGGGTCAGAATCTATTCATTTTTCATGGGACATTTGTCCTTCCTAGTATATGATTGTACAACAAGACATTATAAAGAAATATCTTCAAACTACTTCACATGGCATGTTCTCTGACTGTATATGAAATGGAACTTTTTGAAGAAATATTATGATATATTGGACATAATTTAATAGCAGTCCTTTGGTCGTATTTTCACCTCAGTGAATCAAGGGAACCACAACCTACATTTTTAAGTTGTTCTATATCCATTAGCAATGGGCCTTTTTCAAAACACATTTTAATGTATTTCCTTCTGCAGTTATGGATAGCAGATATAAAAAGAATCTCTGCAGCACTTAATCAATGCTCCTATGCCTCTAGGGCAATTTCAAAACCTTAGAAGGTAGATTTCTAAGATGTAAATTCTAGGTGGAACTGCACTCTTAATTAATTTGCCCTTTAATAGAAAGACTACATAGCAAACCCAATCAATGAGAGAGGTCTTAAGATCACCTTTTTATTTGTTCCATATATTGGTTTCAATTAATTATATCATATCCAAATTGTTAACAGAAGTATTATTTGTATCAAACTGTTATAATGCTATTATGTTTTTGGATTGTACCTGATTTGGTTTTGGACCACAATGAAAAAAAGGAGGAGAAGGCATTTTTTTCAGAATATTTAAATTCTGATATTTTACTTGTCTAGTATATTAAGGTTGTTCATCTGTTTTAATCTAATTATATTAGCATAATCTTTATATTTATTTCCAGATGAAGTTTTCAGAAACAGACTATTTTGGCAATGTCCTTCAGACTCGCAGACATGTGGCCCAATCAGATTTCTACTGGCTGAGAAAAGAAGTCCCCAAAACAGAGTGAGTTGGGAAGAGATGTGCTGGGGAAGTATTGAGATGAAATATTATCAGACAATTAATATACAAGAAATATAATTTAACACAAATTTTAGACTTTTCATCCCCAATCTATTGTTCTGAAACGGATAAAATTTTAAAATGCTTAGTTTGCCTGGTTTAGAACTTAATAATTGTTTTGTGATGATAACTGTGCTACAGATGAGTTTCTGCTGGCAATTATGACTGTTTGGAATGGTACTGCTGGAATTTCCGTCGAATAGAATTTTCATAAATGATGGCTATCCACGAAAATAAGCAGAGTTACTATTATGAACTTAGGGTCAATAAAGTAATGGGGTTGAATTCATTCATTTTAAAATGGATGAAAGTAAGCTTCTCCTTTTATTTTAAAAGAAGATGTTTGCCAGATGATATCATAAGACAAAGAATCAAGAGGAAATGACATTCCTTTCTTTTCCCCCCTCTAGTTTGACAAAGAGAAGAGGGGCTCCACAACCACACAGATCTTAAACCCTTTCCATAACCTACATCCTTTTCCTCTTTTAAGTCCTGCTACTGCATTTCAGTGTGCAGAAGAATTTGCAAAGAAGATCATGAAACAGTTGCTTCTTTCATCTATCTGTTGTGTACCTCTCTGGGTGTAAAAGAGGGGAGAGTAGGCCACTACATTGCTGAGATCTGTCTTTGCAATACAATACAAAAGCCACAGGAACACCTATCATAGCCCTTGTTTTGTATGTGCATGTTGTAAACTAAGAGAAAAACCTGAAAATGTTCTGAGATTCTTCTAGATTATTTGCTATCATTTCTATAACAAATTATATTTAGTTTGTCATGAGTGTCCAGAGCAACAAACACATTTTCTACTTTATGAAGAAGTAGATAAACCCCCTTGATCTTTCATTCTTATGGATGCGGTTATTAGCTGCACTAATACTGTAGGTATCCTGAGAAAATTCTTAGTCTTTAAAATGTCACTGAAAATTAAATTAATTGGCAAATATTTCCTGAAATATAAAATTGTAGGGCAATCCCGTATGTATTATCTTCCATCACTATTCTACTTTGGAATGAAGAGAACTGTTCAACAACTCAGCATGTATTATATTAAAATCCAGCTTATATTTATTCTTTTTCTTTCTCCAGGGGCTGTTTAATATTACCTTTCCCCACTTGTTTTTCCTATTTACCTGGCTTAATTTTCTTTAGAGGGTTTGGGGGAATGGTTCTGAACTAGTTAGTACAAACAGACAGAACATAGTAATATAAACTTTTTTTGCCATAATTGTAAGGCATTTCTTATGGCTTTTCCTTGGGATCTTATTTATTATTCTATCTTTATTATTCTATCTTTATTATTCTTAAATTATTTTATTATATCTTTTTCTCACAGAACAAGCCTATATGTGTAGTTTCTGAGATATAAAATAGGCCATGGACCTGTGCTGTCTAAATTCAGTTGTTGAGTATCAAGTTTAAAGGAGAACTGAATCTGAATCAGAAATTCTCTAGGAGCTTGTTGTTGAATCAGGACAAAAAACAGCATCTTGCTGTTGTGCTGAAAGCTCTGATTGTTCAGGGTGTGAAAGATGTAGAAAATGGTAGGGCTTGTATTGCAACAGTGTAATGGCCTTTCACTTCAATTTCAATACAACTATTTTATTCACATTACTTTCATTTTAGGTCAGGAATCAAGGTTTTCAGAGTCTGTTGTAATCCAGACCATGCAAATCTGGAGATACAGTAACCCATTTTATTCCTTCCAAACATAAAAATATAGTCCTCATTATCTGAGAATTCAAATTGTGAGGATTATTTTTCTGTCATCATTGTAATAGCCAGTTATATAGATATCTCAGAAGGGGCGAAAACTTTAATTATAAAGTTAACTGCAATCAGGAGAAACATTACTTTTTATCATATTTCTCTTTATAAAATTTCATTAGGCCTGTTGAAAGAAAAAATTTCATCAAGGTCCAGTCCAAGCCAGGAATAAACAAAATGGAGACTGCTTAGGAAAGAAGGTTCAGTTTATTTAGTTGCCAGAAACTTCAGTGACAGTAACATGTTTCTGGGATGGCTGACAAAATGGAGCTGGGAGTGGGTGGGTTTTTATACCTTTTGGGGGCTTTATGTTTGGAGTTGTTCTTGTTTGAGATTGTTCCTGTGCAATGAACTTTGATCTGAGCTTCAGTGTGCCCTTTTGGTATTCTAATGGTGGTGGGTTAACCCTATTATGTCCTAAAGGCCATGTCTTTAGATTTTGGGTGGGGGATGCAGAATTTAGGGGTCTTTGTCTTTCTAATCTTAGTGTTGATAATAGACAAGTATTGGAATCAGCTTCCCCCACCCCAGAATACTAATTCAAACTGTAATTTCCTACAGTGTAATCTCCAAAATATTCCTATAGCCACATTCCAGATATGGTTGAGTATCTTCCATTTTCTACCATTCAGTTTGCCTACTGACCAAATTGCTCTATGGAGGATGCTATTTCTTCCATTCTCCATCTGAGCCTCAAGCACTTAGAGGAAAGAAATACTCACATGCGTTTATTGTTTGTCGACTTCAGTTTAACACAATCATTCCCCAGCATCTAGTAGACAAACTGGGCCTTTTAGGCTTAAACACTCCATTGTGCAACTGAATTCTTGATTTTCTTACCAACAGGCCCCAATATGTGCGAGTTGGAACAAATACCTCTAATACCATTTTCTTGAGCACAGGTTCTCCTCAGGGCTGCGTCTTACATCCGCTGCTGTTCACCCTGTTGACCCATGACTATTATGCTAGGTTTGTCACCAACCATATTGTGAAGTTTGCAGGTGATACAACAGTAGTGGGCCTTATTCAGGATGACAAGGTGGAAGCTTACTGCAAGGAGATTGAGGGTTGATGAACTGGTGTAAGGAAAACAGCCTAGTTTTAAATACCCAAAAAACCAAAGAGATCATTGTTGATTTAAGAAAAGGCAGGCACAGCCACACTTCTCTGTACATTAATGATTCACCTGAGGAGATGGTTACCAGCATCAAATTCCTGGGTGTGCAGGTAACGAGTAGGCTGGCTTGGTCGCTCAACAATGAGAAACAGATGAAGTGGGCACAGCAGCACCTGCATTTTCTGTGCCGCATGAGAAAAACACATCTTCCTTCCTCTGTCCTGACCACTTTCTACAGGGGGATGATCGAGAGCAACCTGTCATACAGCATCACAGTCTGGTTTGGAAGCATCACTACTTCAGACAGGAAGGCAGTGCAGAGAGGGAGAGAATGGCCAAAAAGATCATTGGCAGTTCCCTCCCTCTCATCCAGGACATAGCACAGAAGCACTGCTTGAGCAGGGTCTGTAAGATTATCTGGGATACTTCACATCCTCTTCATGACCTGTTTTCCTTGTTACCTTCTGGGAGGAGGCTTCATGGTATCCATAGCAGAACATCCAGATTCAGCCATAGTTTCATTCCATACAGCATTAACCTTGTGAACTCTCAAGTTTCCTCCTTCCATTATATATTCAAGATGGATAGTATTTAATATTTATTTGTTATGTATATGTAGGGGTGGGGGTCTAAACATATGTGGTATATAGTATGTTTAGGTGTGTGTCATGTATGTATTTCACTTTGAGAGCGGGCAACTAAATTTCATTTTTGATGTGTGTCGTTGTGCCCACAGTAAAAAAAAATGACAATAAAGGTTATCTTATCTTATCTTATCTTATCTTATCTTATCTTATCTTATCTTATCTTATCTTATCTTAACTGGCTATGAAGTTCTCCAGTAGGCCAGGACAAATCCTATTAATGCCCATTAATAGTTTTGGACTAAACCAGTGGTGGCGAACCTACGGCATGGGTGCCAGAGGCGACACTCAGAGCCCTCTCTGTGGGCATGCATGCCCTCGCCCCAGTCCTAGGCCTTCAGCTGGGTTTTATAAAATCAATCAGTCAATTTCAACTACTTGCGGGAAAAAAAAAGATCTTGCAAAGTTGGAATTGATTGATTGAACTTTTTAGTCCCAGCCAGTCTGCCATTACCACCGCAGCCATGCCCACCCAATGGGACACACCCACCCAATTGGCCACACCCACCTGGCACCCGACAATGCATAAGTGGGTTTTGGGTTGCAGTTTGGGCACTCGGTCTCTAAAAGGTTTGCCATCACTGGACTAAACTATGAACTTTCCCAGGCAGGGAAGAGGTCAAACATAGACAAACATATTTTTATTATTTTATGTTTTTAATGTAAGATGCCCAGAGTTATTCTGGTGTTAGCTGGCCTTTAAATCTTGTAAATAAACAAACAAATAAAATGAGAAGGATTAAATTACACTGTCTTGAGACAGAATTTTAGAACCTTTTTGGGGAGGAATGGTAAGTTGTAAAGATTTTTCAATATTTGTACATTTTGAATTTACTGTAGCTGAATTGTCTGCTATGCAGTATTTTACAAGCTTAATTTAGAACGCAGCAATAAAGGATAGCCTGAAAAGATATGTTACAGTAAAGCTGCATAGATTAGTCTTTTTTACAAACTGTTCTGAAATTAGCCAAAAAACTGTATTTAAGAAGCAGGCCCTACATTATTATTTTACAGTTTTCCAGTTATTTAAATAAGTATGAAAAATCTGATCTCTGAAATGTACTGGATAACCAGTAGATGGCAGGAAGAAATAAAGACAATTCTAGCTTTTGTTGCCATTTAGCAGTAGGCGTGAGCTTAAATGGACTCCAGAAGATGGTAGAGGACAGGAAGGCCTGGAGGAATGTTGTCCATGGGGTTGTGATGGGTCGGACACAACTTTGCAACTAACAGCAACAACAAAAGTGGCCATATGGAATATTTGCAGACTGTATTTGAAACCTAATTTAAATATCTGAACATAAGGAGAATCTACATAGGGAATCTTTCCCAAAGCATTTGTACTGTATATACAGTACAAATTTAACAAAGTTTTGGGTATGTAATGAAATTATATAAGGCAACTTCATTCCATCCTTATGCATTTATATCAATATTTGGAAGAACAAGAAAAGTCACCTCTTGCCACCAACACCAGTACCAATATAATGCTGTTTGTTGGTTTGGTATTTGCATATGGGAAATTTTATTGGCATTAATTTTCTCCTGCAAAGGTGTAATCTCTATACAGTAATGAATGGTCTGGTGGACATTTTTATATAAGTAATATAAATGTATAAAAAATTAAAGCATGTTAATGTCAAACAATAGACATTTATAAAAGTTAATACTTTTTAAGAAGTATACTAAATATTTATCCATTTTAAGCGATTGTAAAACTTATGGAGACAGCTTTCATGTCTTTGGGTTAAGCCTGGTTGAGGTCTCTAGGTTAGAACGTATTGAAAGAAAGCTCCGAGACAATTGAAGCAAATAAGATAAAGAAATGATGCTAAAAGTTATGATCGTTGTGGAGACTTAGAATGTGCAATGACATTTTAGATTTCTAATAAAAGTGACCTAGTGCCACTCCAGGTCATTCCAAAAAGTCATTCAATGTTATCCTATGTAAGGCCACTTCTTTTTAAGCATCTGTGCTGCTGCTTTTCAGATTAGTGTATTTGGCTGCTGCTGTAAATGACTCTGAAATTGGAATGCAGTCAACCTTGCTAAATGTTTTCTCCTGATTCCTCAGCCTAGATGTCACTCATCTTCTACTCTCTTGCTGAGATATATCTTCCATCTTATCATTTTATTGGAAAATGTTTTCCAGAAGGGTGCAGAGTAGGGAGACAAACCATGCCTGCTAAATAAAGTCTCTTGTATTATAAGTATTAACTAAATAGATATCTATTCAGTGATATTCAGGCTTATATATGATATATGATATTTAAAATATAGAATGGATAACAAAAATAATTGTTATATTGTTTTACAGTTTAATATTAAATAATATTACACAAGTATATTTGATGATGGTTTATTAAAAAAACTGATAAAAATGGTGGATAATCTCATAAATCCTATAATTTTGATATTTTGATATCCATGCTTAATGCATTTTCTAAAATTTCATTTGAAAAAGGGAAGCTTATGTACTTTAGCTATAATGTCAGATATAGAATACCTGCTTGATCAAGGATGGAAGATATTCCATTGTGCAAGTAGTCCTTGATTTATGACCACAATTTGGATCAGAATTGTCATTGTAAGTCATTACAGTCATAAGATGAGTCAGACCCAATTTTATCACAATTTTTATCGATTGTGTTAAATGAATCACCACATTTGTTAAATGAATCACACCATTGTTAAATGAATCTAGTTTCCCCAATGGGCGTTTTTTTTTTTCTGGACATCAGCAAAAAAATGTTGCACATCAAACCATGTGACTGCAGGATGTTACAATCGAACATAAATACAGACAGATTGCCAAGTGCCCAAATTGCTAACATATGAGCATAAAGGTTGTGTGATGGTTGTAAGTGTAAGTACAGGTCATAAGTCACGTTTTCTGAGGGCATTGTAATTTGAACAGTTGTTAAATGAATAGTTGTAGGTTGAGGACTACCTGTAGGTGTTGAACCACTTTTACAGACTATTAATCTTCATCCTTTGCTACATAGTTGGATCCTGATTTCCTTTGTACATAGAATAATAAGGTGCCTGCTATGGCTTTGAATGGCAGGCTCTGCAATTGTAGTTTAAATCTTGAGGGAGATCCAAATTTAGCCAAAATGAGCAATGAGTTCATATAGGAACTTGACATTTGTGGGGGACGAAGGGGGACGGAGACAGACAGATGTTCTCTGATTAATAGAATAATATCTGCTTTTCTTTTCTCTTTTTCAACAGGTGGTTTACTAGTCCAACAACAGTGAATGCCTTTTACAGTTCATCTACAAATCAGATCAGTGAGTACTTGACTAAACCACCATTTAATTACTTATCTGAGAAAAAAGAATATCCTTCAGCTTCTATAAGCAGTGCTCCTCACAATTTTAAAATTGTTATTTCCTCATACTGCACAAAAATGCCTACTAGTTTTAGAAACTGTGTCCTCATTAAAAAATACTAATACCAAGTGCATTGTATGTTTACAAGCAGGTAAACATTGGCTGTTGATTTTACATATTCAGGATACAAAGAGAGAAAAAGAAAGAGAGAGAAAGAGGGAGGAAAGGAAGAAGAAAGAAAGAAAGAAAGAAAAAGAGAGAAAGAAAGAGAGAGAGAGAGAAAGAAAGAAATAAAGAAAGAAAAGCCAATTGCATAAAAATAACCTTTCTAGGAAAGAAGTAATATTACCTTTATGAAGTAATAAGGCATCTGATTGTTTGTGATCAAGGAATCCATAAAGCAAGCAAGCAAAGAAATCCCATATTCATTAAGGCTATTCACTCTCTAATAATTTACAATATCACCCAGCATTGTTGAGACATATAAAACTGTGTATTGATTTATGTTTTTGTGTCTGGCATCAGTTAAGCAGTGATAAGTTTTTGAGCTTAATGGCAGTGGTCTCGTTTTCTGGTATCCTAACATTTTATCAGCAAGAAAAGTAGCTCTCTGTGCCTCTGAAACTGCCAGTCAAAGCTGTTGGCAAAACATCAGGTGGTTAAGGCATCAATTGAAACTGAGAGACTCTATGTTCTAGTCTCACTTGAGGCACAAAGTCAGCTGGGTAACTGTGGGCCAGTCATTCTCTTTTAGCCCTAGGAAAAAGGCAATGTCAAACCATTTGGAAATATTGCCTAAAGAAAACTTCAGAGACTTGCCTAGAAAGCCTCCAAGAATCAAAACTTGAAGACACAGCCACACATTGCTAAGGAAGGCTTAGCAAGCTGTTTTATAGAATATCTCCCCAACTACTCCAAAATCAGGGGAACAAAACCCCACAATTTTATCCCTATATATTTGAGCGACATTATTAATAATCTCCAGGCTCTTCATGGACCTTGAACATGGAAAATAATAACAACAACTAATATTAAGCAGCTCCTGATCAAATGTGAAAAGGTGGAGACTAGTCTAAATATTCAGAAAGCACATAGGGTCTATCAATGCTGGCAGATTGCCTCATTGTCAGAATTAATTTGTTGTTATTTGTGAAGGGTAAAAATGGATATCATTTTTTATTAATTTCCCACTCGCCTTCAAAGTAACCTCAAGATAGACTTTTCTGTTCCACTTCCAAATTATGTTTGTTTGTTATGTTGCTTTTAGAGTGTTTCTATCTGTTTGGAATAAAGTATTTCAATCTGTTTTAGCAGTTTACTAGCTATTTTGCAAAGAAAGGGGCACACTTACAGATAGTTCTTGACTTACAACAGTTCATTTAGTGACCATTCAAAATTACAATAGCACTGAAAAAAGTACTTTCACACACTGCAGCATCCCCATGGTCACAGGATCAAAATTCAAATGCTTGGCAACTAACTCATATTTATGGTGGTTGCAGTGTCCTGGGATCATGTGATCACTTTTTTGCGACCTTTTGACAAGCAAAGTTAATGGGAAAGCCAGATTCACTTAACAACTGTGTTACTAAACTTAACAACTGCAATGATTCACTTAACAATTGTGGCAAGAAAGGTTGTAAAATGGGGCAAAACTCACTTAACAAATCTCTTACTTAGCAACATAAATTTTGGGCTCAGTTGTGGTCATAAGTTGAGGACTACCTGTGTTACAAGGATATAAATAACATATATCCTTGTAACAACACAGCTGAAACAGTGTGGCCGCTGCAATCTGCACTTAACATATGAAAGATTGCTGGTTCAAAACCTGTTTGCAGGTTGGGTACCAAAAAAGGAATACATAATAGAATATGCCAGAATGGTTAAAATGAACAAATATGTATTAAGTCCAGATACTTAGAACATTGGGGAGATCCTCCCTCAATCTGCCATGATGAGCACAAGAGTTGGAAGGGATTTTGGAGGTCTTCTAGTCCAACCCTCTTCTTATCTAGCTGGAAGCATCTACTCTGCATAAACCTTACCTGGGATCCCTCAAAAGGTAGCAATTTTGTGTGAGGGGATGAGTGAGTTCAGTTTTCCTGTGTCAAAACAGGTTAATAGCAGCAGCCAGGAGATGGGTGGGCAAAAGAAGAAGATTGCTTGTGGCTTCGCTGCCTCCCTTGGAATGATGTAAGGTCTGTCTATATGGAGATAATGAATTTAATAACTTGGCCAATCAAGCAAATATGAAAAAAAAGTGGAGAAACTGAAACAAATATCCATCATTACTAATAATAGCATTTTTAATTATACAATATAAACTGCAGCTTGCAAATTATTGAATTATAATGTTTAAAAGGAGCACTTTTTAAGGTTCAGGATTCTTCTGATAGCTTTTGCTGAATGTAAAAGCTAAATAACCAAGATGAAATATTATTACTTGGGTTTTCTTATCTCTGAATAGAATTAAATAGGCACCATTACACAAAGTATCCTGGAAGAAATCAGAGTGCTTTTCAATCTCCTTCTGCTCAAGGTTGGCAGAACAACCATCAGCTCACATTTTCTTAACATACATAGTAACTGAAGGATTCCTGTACTTCTCTGGGTTGAATCTGGACTTGTTGAGGGTTTCTCATTTGAAGGATTGCCATCTTCAACTACCCTGTTGTCAAGTATTCTTAGTGATTGCACTTCCTGTGGACCAACCTACCATTAGACATTTTGACAACTATTAAATACTTTGGAAAAAGGAGTGAAATCATGCAATTTGGAACAATGACCATTATTCTACTTCAGTTTGGGGGCACATAGGTTAGTTGCTGTTAACAGCATTATTTTGGCTTGGAAACTAACCTTAAATTATGATTGTGGGTGTAAACTGTTTGGATTCTATGAAAATAGAGTGGTGTAGAAATTGAGTGAAGTAAATAAATTGGCACATTAAAAGTAAACACACACACAAACAAACGTTTTCTAAAAGCTCGTTTGCTCTAAGCCGCCCCAAATTGTTGGAGGCAGAGGGCTTTCCTCCTGGTCTTCTACATTCCTGGAATGATCATGTCATCTGTCCTGTGTAAGAGCATTGGAGGATATGCAGAGCTGGTAAAATAGCTACATAGTTTGCTGATTAAAAGTCCAATTCATATTGAAAGAGCTTTAGCAATAGCAATGGCACTTAGACTTATATACCACTTCATAGTGCTTTACAGTATTCTCTAAGTGTTTTACAGAGTCAGCAGTTGTATAAAGTCATCTCAGGTATAACAAAATCTTCACTCTAGCTTCCTATACAAAACTGTCTGGTTACATTTTGCCCCAAAGGCTATGCCCCTTCAATCAATAATTTAGGGTTTTTAAAAAGGAGTATTTAAATAGGATATGCAGTCAAGCTTGATTTACAGATTTATCCAGTCATGTTTTCAGTATTTACTTTTTATTTTTTTCCTCCCTTCCCTGTTCATTAAAGCTAGATCTACCTAGAGTTTCTGCTATATATGTCTTAGTATTTAAGGTTTTTGGAAATTATTTGCAGCTTTTGCTGTTCTAGGCTCTCTCTTATATTTCTACTGCAATTCGTAGTGCTAGGCTTTTTTTTTTGCTACATACATAAGCACCTGTATAAAACAATCTTATATAAATAGCTTGGTTTGGCCACTTAGGGATAATGTGAATTGTAACTCAGATATCTAAGTCTATGGAAAAAGTGCAAATGTTTCTTTAAGTTACATTATTTATTTATTTATTTTAGAAAATATGTAGGGCTGCCCGACTAACTCTCAGTGACTCTGGGCAGCTTACAAAGATAAAAATCCAGTAGCAAAACAATAAAAAGCAATAACCCCTCACACTTTCATATATTTTTATATTATAAAACTTTCAGTAAGATGCTGGTCAACACACTATATATTCCTAGGTTAAGTAAATATATTCAAGTTGTGCAAAGGAGATTGTTTTGACGGTGCAACACAATTGAAACTTGTTTGACCAAATTTGGATAATAACCTGACCCCACCCAATAGAAGGACTGGACAAGCTAGTTCTGAGAGATAATGGTGTTTCAATGGTAAGTTGTTTACTTGAATTTTAGCTGTGAGGAGGAAAGGAAGGAAGGAAGGAAGGAAGGAAGGAAGGAAGGAAGGAAGGAAGGAAGGAAGGAAGGAAGGAAGGGCTTCCTATAAAGACATACTATGCTTCCGACTGAAATTCATTGTTTAATTTTTTAAAATTCATTGTTTAGATTAACTGTTGTCCTTGTGTGCAGAAGGTATTGGATACTCTATCCTGTCTAAATCTCTTAGAAAATCTCAGACTTCTTTATTTGGTGAAACTGAATTCTTTCTTCTCCTCTTCTAAAATCATCACAGGGTTTCCAGCAGGAGAACTCCAGAAGCCTTTCTTCTGGGGAACTGAATATCCCAGGTAAGAAGTCTTTATATGTGAAATGCTTATAAACTCAAATACATGAAATATTCTTACAAGTTAGCACACTTATTGAAGCAAGAAACTGGAAAACCTAAATATATGTGCAATTGAGCATGTTCTATCAGTTTTAACTTTTGGGACACTGTAAAAATAGATCAGTACAAAAACTGCTTATTTACCTATTTCTTTTTCTTGTTTTGTTTTCAATTCATTAGAGATCTGTCCATGCATTCTGCCCCCTTTCCTTCATCCTCACGCACTGTTTAAAAGCCTGATCAAAGAGTAGACACGGAAAAGGAGTTCTCCCCATATTTATTTTACCAAGGTTTTATTTACAGAGCTTGTCGCCTCCATTCCTCTCCTGTGTATTTAAACATTTTGTTATAAAATGAAACAGGCTGCAGGCAGAGATGAATTAAGTATTCCTGTTCATGTATTGCAATGAATATTTTTAGAAAACTAACTACTGTTAGCAATGGATCTATTTAGAAGCTGCTAGTTTTCACACATAGAAAACAAAACAAAATAAAAAAACCTGTTAATGCTAAATGTGTCTCTGGAATTTAAAACACACAATTCTTATTTACGAGATTAGAGATAGTTCTTAGGTTCCATTTTGTTGTTTTAATAATATTCTCAATAATTGTTACAATTCTTCCCCCACAAGATTATTTCCCCCATAAATTCTTTATATCATCAGAAATTGCCTCTTTATATTCTCAATGGGAATTGAATTATAAAGTAGAAAAGCTGAGTATCTCTGAGAATCTAGTTCCCAAATCATGAAATCTGACAGGAACCAGATTCTAAAAAATAGAAATTAATTTAAGATATTTTGCCTGGGGCAAAGTTTGTTAGTTACTGGTCTTTGAAATCCTTGTAGAATCCATGCATAGGGCAGTGTTGTGAAATCAACATTTATTGAGCATGTCTACACTGAAATTAAAGTGCTAACTGCTACTTATACATTAGTGTACATATTAAGAAACCAAAAATAAGGAACTATATATCTTTGATGACCTTTTGTGAAAGATTTTGTTCTTTTCATGATAGATACTCTGTATTAAATGTTTTATTTTCCAGCAGCTAACAGCTTCGGAAGACAGAATTTTATTATTTATTTATTGATTGATTATAACCATTTTCAAGGCCAAGTATCATCAACAAGAAAATTATTGATAATGGAAAATGTTCTGGCCGTTCGCACCCATAACCAATGGAGAACCAAAAACCTGTGTACATGCTCTTACCACTATATTAGCTCAGAACTACTGAACTAGTGTGTAAAATTCAGCCACTGTTTCCTAAGTCTTTTATTATATCAATTCCTAAGTTATTTCTGAGGGGTCCTTGGTGCTCTCTGAGCTTGGTTGTTTTCTTGCAGATGTTCCATTACGCAAATTAGAGAGCACCAAGGACCCCTCATTTCAATTCTGAACTACAGATATTCTCCTTTATTGGTAAGTTATTTCTTCTTTTCACTAACATTCCTTGTTCCTCTGATCTTCCCCTGGATTTCTGTCCCATTCTGCTATCAATTCTTTTTCACCCATTCTGCATTTTTTTAAAAAAATAAAAACTAAATTTCTCTGCTTTCAGTTAGGTTTTCTCTAACAGCTATCCCTCCCAAGCAGTCTGATCTTTTTTTAACCAAGAAAGTGGAGTGTAGTTATTTTTAAGCTGACAAGTGTTTGTCAGTATCTTATTATCCTATATTTGCACATACATTGTTAAAAGTTTCATTGCTAAAGTTTACATAAATAAATTATACTGGGAATGTTGTGCTATTGTTCCACTATTGCTCAGTTCCTGGGGAAAAATAGATAGAGATTTCACTCCTTTTTGTATTTCGGACATACTCCTTGATATTATCAAAAAGGTGAACAGCCTTACTCTTAAGATTGTATTCTGTATCTGATGCCACACCTGTCTTTTGTACAATATAAAATAATAAACTTGTCATAGAATGGGATGCTTCCATTTTTGAAATGTATAATTTTAACCTCAGGCTTGTAATGGAATTTAGCAGTGATAAAAATAAAATCTGTAAGAACTATTTTATGACATACAATTGAGCTTTTGTGGAGGATAGAATAAAATAAAAGGCTAAGATAGAAATTCAAATATACTGTAAGTTTAGAATATGACTCAGAAGGCAATTACCATGTTATGGATTGTTAAATCAAATGAAAATCTTTGCAAATCTGCAGTGACATTGATGGGGTGTTGTTGTTATAGTAAATTCAAACTAAACATGAGGTATTCTGATTTTGTGTTGGACTACAGAGTCAGTGGAAAAAAGATATAACCTTTTCTCCCTCTCCATGTTGGTCCTATGGGTGGTGAGTTGAGTAGGAAACATAATTTCAATTAAGAAGAGATCGTCCTTGGCATTCATCAGAGTTTTTATCTCCTCAGTGAATTCTTCTGCATGACAAATCATTGGGTATGCAGATTACCCCAACAGCAGGTGAAATCAGTCTGCTGATCAGATGTATAACTCTCATTTAAAGCCATCTATGGGCCGAGAGGCATTGCATGTAGTAGGAAAGCAGACAAGCATAGATGTGAATATGCATTCCCAGTCTTTCTGAGCAGAAGAATAGCAATAGACTCTCTAAGCAGTTTACAGAATCAGCATATTGCCCCCAACAATCTGGCTCCTCATTTTACTGACCTCAGAAGGATGGAGGGCTGAGTCAACCTTGAGCTGGTCAGGACTGAACTCCTGGCTGTGAGCAGAGTCAGCCCGCAGTATTGCATTCCAACCACTGAGGCACCATGACTCAATATTTAGATGCTTGTGTTGAATTGTCCCAGATTGCAATGGGCAACCCCGGAGTTCATTCCAGGCTTTTCTGATTGGCTCCTTGCTTTGATTTTATAATAGATTCCCCCCTCCCAACCAGGATAGTTATATTTATCTGTTGTTTCAGAATTGGCCAGCTTTTGGTCCATCCCTTTCAGAGGTTTCAGTTTTTAAAACGACTTTGTATTTAAAAATATAAATTTAGAAGATGGGATAATATGTTTCCATATAATCTAGATTTCACTTTACCTAGGCTGGATGTGTTACCCACAGCAGTTCCTTTTGGATGTTTTAAACATACTCCTATGTCTTTCCAGTTTTGTCCATGTAGTAATGGCTCAATAAACTCTAAGCCATTTGTTACTGTACTGCTCCTTTCATTCATTTAATATTACATCTTTTAGACAAGGACTCAAAAGTATCTCTCCAAGTCACCCAGTTTTGTACCGCCATCTGTAGAACACATCACACAATTAATTAAAATTGGATATACTTTTTATAATATATATGCATGCATGCAGTGGTGGGATTCAAATAATTTAACAACTGGTTCTCTGCCTGAAGAGCAACTTAAGAATATATGAAGGCACAGGCTTCCCTGAATGCTAAAAGTAAAGGGGGGTGGGACGGTGGAGTAAGCCGCCTGAGGAAGAGGCAGAGGTGGAAAACTGCTGCAGGGTGGTTGGTTTCACCCACCACCACCTAGAAACAAAACATCTCAAATGGCCCTGAGGAGCCTTGGTCACCAAGGTCGCATTCACTTGCACGAAGCAGCAGCCAATGTGGGCTGCTTCCATCCCAGCTGAGAAAGGGAGAAAAGGAGAAAGGCGGTTTACAGTAACTTCCTTCGCCTCCCTGGATGTCCTTAAGTCTTTTTTCCTTCTTTCCTTTCTCTGCGCAGTGATCACTGGTCCACATTTTCTTGCTGCCCTGCATGGGCCCACATCTCCCTTCTCTGTTCTGGAAATGGTAGCCCCATTTTCTGCTGCTTTCCTCCTAGTAGAAGGGAGGAAAGGAAGGATGCTTCATATGGAAGGATGCTATGGTAATCTCCAGGAAAACTATACCAGCTGGAGCTGGGCAAGGAAGGCCAGGCTTCCCTGCCCCGATGATTTATTTATTTATTTTATTTTATTTTATTTATATGCCGCAAAGCCCTTGAGGAGCGGATTGGGCCAGCTCTGCGGGAAGTGGATCCACTTCTCAAGGGCTTTGCAGAACCATTGAAGGGGAAGGGGAGCTTGGTCTTCTTTGCTCAGCTCCAGCTGGCATAGTTTTCCCAGAGCTTACTGTAGAAAGAAAGTGCAGTGGTGGTGATGGAGGGCTGGTGGAGGGATACTAGGGCTGGCAGAAGGAGGCAGCAGGGGAGGCTTGTGCTCCCTGGTCATGGCACAGGTCACGGGAGAGTTGGTGGAGGAGGAGGCAGTGGGGACCGAAGAAAGCCCCTCCAGCAGCAGATGCGCAGCGATGGAAGAGCCTTTTGCCGTCACTCCCCCTGGCTCCAAAATGGCAGAGGGGGACCGGGTAAGGCCCATCCTCCATAATATGGCCATCCTGCTTGGGAGGGGAATGAAAAGGAAAAGGTGGGGGGGCAGCTGACTTGACCGAAGATGCTGTGTCTCTGTTTGATTTCCGTCACTCATCTCTTGGACTTTTGGGAAGGGTTTTCTTATTCCCTGCCTGGAAGAAAGTTGAATGAAAACTGGATGTGTTCCAGAAAACATAGATTTATGATAACCAGTTCTCCAAATTCAACAAAAAATTAGATATTGGTTCTGCTGAACCGGTGCGAACCAGCTGAATCCCACATCATATATCGTATCGTATCGTATCGTATCATATCATATCACATCATATCATATCATACCTCATATCATATTTACATTACATTACATTACATTTCTGTTTAGTCCTGTCCAATTTTTGAATACTGCCTGGACAAGTCCAGCTGTTTTCTTGTCAAGGTTTTTCAGAAGTGGTTTGCCATTGCATTTTTCCTGGGGCTGAGAGAAGGTGCTAGCCTAAGGTTACCCAGCTTGTGGGATTAGAACCACAGTCTTCCAGTTTCTAGCTTGATGCTAGAATAGAATAGAGCTGGAAGGGACCTTGCAGGTTTTCTAGTCCAGCCCCCCATTCAAGCAGGAGAATCTGTACAATCTCAGACAAGTGACTGTCTAGCCTCTTCTTAAAAACCTCAAGTGACAGAGCGCCCATGATTTCTGGAGGCAAGCTGTTCCACTGGTTAATTGTCCTCACTTGTAGGAAGTTTCTCCTTAATTCCAGGTTGCTTCTCTTTGAGCAGTTTCCAACCATTGTTTCTTGTCCTGCTCTCTGGTACTTTGGTGAATAATGTGACCCCCTCTTCTTTGTGGCACCCCTCAAATACTGGAATACTGCTACAATGTCTCCCCTATTTCTTCTTCTTTTTAGATTAGCAAAACCCAAGTCCTGCAGCCATTCTTCATATGCCTTAACCACTATATCAGGATGGCTCTCTCTATATTTTTAGCTCTCTCTCTCTCCCCCCCTCATCAATCTAGCAATTAATCTATACCTACATATACACATTTCATATTACTTTGCTTTTATGTTATATATAGAGAGGTATACAACAGTTTGACTATTGTATATTTTACTGAATCTGGCCTTATGTCTGTAATAAATAGATTTCATTATAACCTAGATTTAATCATATTTTAAAAACATCTATTTGTTAATATTATATGGAGTTGTATTTTTGGACGTTTTAATACATGCACACACAAACATACAATTACTGCTATATTTTGTTTATTTCATTAATAATTATTTTTAAAAGGAGTGAGATTTTCTAAGAGCTTGGGAAATGCAATGCACTTGTTTCTTGGTTTATGTTTAGTGTGCAACCTCTGTATTTGTTCACCCAATAGTGACTTCCTCATGTTTCACTCACTAGCAGAGGGGACAAACTGCATTTTATGCAGACTTTAGCTTTGCATTTTTAAAGAAAATTGTTTTAGCTGCTCAATGTCCTCAAGAAATAAAATACAAAACAACAGAAAATGAAATAGCAGCATAATCTAATGCAAATTCCCAAAATTCAATTCCATTTCCAAAACTTTCCCAACATCAACTTCACAATCTCTCTTAAAAAAATAGTAAATCTGAATTTCCTGGATTATATATGTAACTTGTACCTATATTTTATGTTACTCAACTCCTAACTTCTGGCCTCAGGGAGCCATCTTTCCCTGGCATGATTTTATAATGACTCATACTGCAACATTCAGCCATTATTAAAGTTATTGTGAAAAGTGTCTGGCTGTAAAAATGCCATCATATTATCTTTTGGGTACACTTGAACAGAAGTGTTTTAATATAAACAGAAAAAATGGCCTATTTCCCAACAATAATGTTTCCTTCCTTCCTTCCTTCCTTCCTTCCTTCCTTCCTTCCTTCCTTCCTTCCTTCCTTCCTTCCTTCCTTCCTTCCTTCCTTCCTTCCTTCCTTCCTTCCTTCTTCCTTTCCTTTCCTTTCCTTTCCTTTCCTTTATACAACATATATGACAATATAATTGAATGTATGTTTGTGTACACATTGAAGGAGCAATGGGATTTTTGTTACTCCAGATCTGATAGCTCAGGGACAGAATATTCTTTGATACCCACTTTTAAAACTCTGTTATTGGTTGGATACAGGAATAATTGATTGCAATGTGATTTCCTGTCTGTCTTCACCATTTTGAATTCAGCTCAGGTGAAAACCATCAAACGTTAGCTTTCAAGTGATTTCTGAGAATAAAGTAGGATGAAAACTATGCCTTCTGGAAGTAGTTAGTCAAGTTTCACTTTCCTCATTGAAAAGTTGACCCTTCAAAAACTAAAAGCTATGCTTTCATTCCACGACTACTTCCATATTCCTTTATTCCTTCCTGCTATTTCAGTTCTTAAGAACATGAGAACCATGGGTTTCCTTTCACTAGTATATTTTAGAAACTTATCTCTTTAGTCTGATATTTAACTAAACTTGCACATCTTCCCTTTCCCTTCCTTCTTCTTCCATTTTGTGGTTTTAAACCAGTGGTGGGATCCAAATATGTGAACAACCGGTTCTCTGTGTAGATGCTGCTTCCAGAAGTCCATTCTGGGCCTGGGCAACAAAAAATTAGCTACCGGTTCTGCCGAAGTGAACCAGCTGAATCCCACCACTGTTTTAAACTGTAAGATTACAAAAAAGCTTTTATATTCTTATGACATTAAATAATTTTACTCTTACATCATTACAAATAAATATCTCCCAATAAAGGCATAAATAATAAGCACCAGCAATTTGGTATTACTGCAAGCATACTCCATTCTAATACATTTGACTATTTATACTTTGGACCTCTCTCCATCAAATGTGATTTAAGACAACCTATGAGCCATATTTGGCTTATATGAAAAAAAGATATTCAATATTCTTTTGACAATTTAATTAGCTTGAACTTTTTTTGCATGTTTGGAAATTGCAGTTGTTAAGAGAAGCTCTTTGCTCTGCTGTGACAAATACAAAGTTTATCTACTTGGTACTGCAGGGCTAGTAATTGATTCCAAAAGGTTAATTGTGAGCAGCCTTGAAAATGGTTGATAGAAATGTAACACTGAACTGTGATTTGTCCATTAATATAAAAACATCCAATGTGACTGCTAATTAAAACTGCATTCATCATATGCCATTAAGTTTTTCATAGAGAATTATATTTGAGATAGCACTATATTTAATGTAGTCAAATAAGTTAAATGTACCTTTTGTGTATATTAGCTCACTTCCATTTGCTTTTTACAAACTAAGAATTTTTTAAATTTCTGCTAATGTTTTTCAAATAATAGTGGTTTTCTTCAATGATATCTTTAAATATACTTTCTTCCAGTTTACATAAAACTGAATGGAAATTCTACTCGATCTCAAAATTCTTTTCTTTTTCAGGTCATTAAGCTATGGTGCTATCGGAGTTATTGTTGGGCATGAATTTACTCATGGATTTGATAACAATGGTGAGTTATTTAGATTCTTAAAATCTGGTTAAAAAGGAAGACTAATTTTGGAGGAATAAAAATGATGAACTCTAAATGCAAATCTCACATACATTCCAAAGCAATATGGAGATGTAGTGTTTCTGGTCTTTTAAGTGAAAATAGCTAATCATGCATTAAATTCTTGTTTCTATTTATGTATATTTTAAGGTTAATATAAACAGTGAAGTGATTCTTTTAAAGGAAATGTTTCTGGGTTAAGTTTTAAGAAATCTGTATTTTATTTATACTATGCTTTGCATTTTTCCCCCTTGAAAATGGAAATGCAGGTCGCAAATATGACAAGAATGGAAATTTGAATCCTTGGTGGTCCTTGCAGTCAGAAGAAAAATTCAAAGAGAAAACAAAATGCATGGTCAATCAATACAACAGCTATTACTGGAAGAAAGCAGGGTTGAATGTAAGTTTAGGATGTTTGGCTTAAACTGATTTGGATCAATCAAACTAAATCTGGAACAATCAGCAGTAATATATCATCATGGCATTTTGATGTTTGCCTTTTTTATATAGCTTATAGCATATTTTTTTCTTTTTAGCTAGATATATTAATTACAGCTGGCTTCTGTGGCTGGTGGCAAAGGTTTTAAAGACTTACTTATTTTCCAATGCTTTTCCTCGCTTTTTCCTTTAATTTCAAGGCAGAGAGATGAAGTGATGGGAAACCACTGATGCTTGCTTAATTATTCATTACACACCTATGCAATTAAATAGCTGTAAATAACAATGCAAATAGGTAATGTTAAAGCTGTATTCCTTTATAGCTTTTGATTCTCTCTCTCTGTCTGTCTGTCTGACTATCTGTCTATATCTAATCTCTATCTCAGGGCTTTTCAATCTTTTCACAGATTGTACCATTTTTAGTACATGACAATATTTGAGTATCACCAGTGCTTAGCAAGGTGTCAAAAACTTGATGACTAAAAAAAAAGGGGAGGGGGCGGGATTTGGCTTTACTGGTTAGGTTCATTTGTTTTTATAGAAATGGCTAGTTTATAATATTATGGAAAAGTAAAAAGTTGAGGTTCATTGTTAATGCTTCCTTCTTACTGCAACAGTGGAAGTCAGAAGTCAATGCCTTTTCTTTTTCCCTTCTCCCCCTCACTTTTCCCTTTTTTCTCACTCTTCCTCACAAAAGCCCCCCCTCTCACCCTTTGCTTGCAAAGACTCCTGCTCACTCTTTCGCTCATTCATGCATTGCTCATAAAGTTTCCTGCTCACTCTTTCGCTCACATGTTGCTTGCAAAGCCTCTCGCTCCCTCTTTCGCTCACTCACATGTTGCTTGCAAAGCCTCCTGCTCTCTCATTCTCTCACTCACACGTTGCTCACATGTTGCCTTTGCTTCCAAAAGCCTCCCACTCTCTCTCTCACTCACACGTTCCTCACATGTTGCCATTGCTTCCAAAGGCCGCTTGCTCACTCGCTCGCTCACTCACTGCTGCTGTTTCCAAAGTCCACTTGCTCGCTTGCTTGCTCACTCCTCCATCACTTGTAAAGGACCCTCTCGGTCTCTCTCTCCTCATTGCTTTGCTAACAAAAGCCTCTTCTAATCTCTCTCTTTCTCTGTGTGTTTTTTCTCTCCCTCTCCCACCAAAACCTGCCCCTTTTATAGTTTCTTCTCTCTCCGCCCTCCTCCTCCTTCTTTTCTCTTCTGGGTACGTCGGGAGCTCCAACCAGCATGCCGTCGCATATACAGATCCTGGCACTTCTGCAGAGCCCTGCAGCTCCAGCTGATCTCCTCCAGGCCTGTGCATTGCTGCTTTGGCTCGCTCCCTCCCCCACTACACTTGGCTAGGGGTCGCGTACCACTTGCCAGGTGCTAAAGTACCACCAGTTGAAAAGCCCTGCTCTATCTCATCCATCCATTCCATCCATCCATCCAGTAGAAGGAAAAAAAGGAATTTGAAGCAATAGGATCCACTGACTGGATTCCTTGGAAAACTTAAGCACTAATGCTGCATAGTAGCCAAAATGGTTTAAAAGGCAGCTTATTTCTTCACTTTTTCAACAGCTGTAATGCTGCAGGCAACTTCATGAATATATAAAAAACATTTTTTCCAGCTTTGCCTACAGATAGTCCTCATTTAAAGACTGCCCTGTTTAGCAAGTGTTCAAAGTTACAACAATACTAAAAAAGTAACTTTACAACTGTTCCTTACACCTAGGATGGCCACCACTTTCCCCTGGCTGAATTATTGCCATTTGCCTGCTCCACAGCTGGCTTCTGACAAGTAGAGTTCTATAAAGAAGCTGACAGTGGAATTGCAAGTTGCAGTCACATGATGTCTCACTTATCAACTACTACTTAGCAACAGAGTTGCTGGTCCCAATTGTGACTATTAAATAAGGACTACCAGTACTTTGCCTGCCGTTATGCATTGATATGACATTAGATCACATTACATGAACAGATTATGTACTGCATTGATTAAGATCCCTGCTACTCACCCTGTGACAACTATATCCAGGTATATATAATACTGTCCCCCAGTAATAATCTGAGAATAAATCTGAAAGTATTTGTCATACCCTTGTATTTTTCCCCAGTTATATGGAAAAATTTGATGTGGGTTGAGAAACCATGTTAATTTACAATATTCTTATTCCTAGATAAAAGGGAAAAGGACTTTGGCAGAAAACATTGCAGATAACGGAGGGTTGCGAGAGGCTTTTGGGGTAGGCAGCTCTTTTGTTTCTAAGTGCAGACCAATACATGGTCCGCCCCACCTGCCCCAATATGCTATTGTAGGAAAAAGGGCTGGTGAAACCTGCACTGCCTTCAATGTGTTCATTATGTCTCACATCAGGCCTATAGGAAATGGGTCAAAGAAAAGAGACAAGGAGAGGAAGAGGCTCTACTACCAGGCATTGACTTCACTCATAACCAGCTCTTCTTTCTGAGTTATGCTCATGTGAGTAGTACATAACATTTCATAATGGATACGCATATTTAGCTGTTCATGGTATGTTGAGCAGACAAGTCTGCTTGATTACCAAAAGAATGTCATTTTCATAAATTGTAGATTATTACCAATGGCTGGCTCCTTCCCTTCCCTTCAAAAAGGAACAAATTACAAGGCCTCTCTTCAGATTCTTTTTTCCACAATACCATACCATGTAAAGTACAAAAAGATGTAAAGTACATACAAAGCCGAAAAGGAATGATGGTTCATTCCTTTTCGGCTTTCTAGTTGCTGAAGAGAAAGAAATTTCAAGGGCAGTCCAAATTCCCTTTTACAGCACAATGTTGAATGGCTTTGTGCATAATTTGTCTCCAATTCACATAGACTACAGACAACTATTTCTGCCATTGGTTACAAGCTGGATCATGAAAAAGGTTCAGAAATATTTAACTACTTCTTTTATCTAATTATCTAACCACTTATCCTAGGTGAGGTGCAATTCATTTAAACTAGAAGCTGCAAGAGAACAAATCTACACTGGAGTTCACAGTCCCCCTCAGTTCAGGTATTTTCACTTGCTTCCCTTTTTTTTTGCAATTACCATAATGCAGTAAATCAGGCAGGTATAATAGAACTAATATAAACAGCTGTTCTGATTAGTTAAGAAATGTGACAATTTCTTTTAACCACTCTGTTGTTCTGCAAGAACTCATATATTATGTATTTCTCTCCCTTCGCTTTATTTTCCGTCTTGATATTCTATAGTACATCATTTCCAGAGATTTGTTTTTCCAGCCTCAAGAAGCTGATTAGTAGAAGGGAGATAAAATTGGGGTGGGATATATGATTTTCTTCTTTCCAGGTAGTAGTTTCTCTTCTCGGTAACATTTAGCTGTGTGGATTTTAATTTATTAACATTTATTCTAGTATTCTGAATCTAAGTGTAGCATTATAATCATGGGTATGGGCCAACCGACCCCACAGGTCAACACATTACATCAGGTCTAGACATGTGGGTAAGAGGATTGTTTTCTTTTTCTGGCAAATGCACACACCCAAATATTTGCACAATTGAAGGCAATTCTTGCTTATTTGTATCCTGGATCCAGCAAAAGCTTGTGCATTGTGGCCCAACAACACAGTTTCATTACCCAAACTGTTCCATTATTTCTGTGGGGTGAATGTTTTTACACTGCTTTTTATTTGTTCTGCTGTATTTTAATGCTGCATTTTATTTTTTAATGTTTTGAATACCACTTGGAGACTGTAGGAAGCTTAAATATATTAAAACACATTATTATATACAATCATAATTAATGAAATAGTATTTTAAATTACTATTTTTTGAAATAATCAGCCTTTCCTAGAACAGGAATTTCTATTGCAATTTTTTTAGTGCAATTTCCTGCCAATATTTAAAGGAGAAGTGTATTCAACATCCAACAAGTTTATATCAAACCTAAATCCCGACTCACACAGTTCTCTTCTTCATCCTTAACTGTGGAGTTATTTCATATATCCTTAGAAATGTAATTGCATCCATAGAAAGGTGCTAAGAATCCTCTTTTAGCTTTATCTGTGTTTAAAAGATTTGTTGCCCAAATGCCTCTCTTCTGAAAGAGAAGGATTAAAAACACTCACATGGATAAACATTTGGAATGAGAAAATACATCTTCCAGTAACATAGTTTCCCCCCATAGGATGCGTTAGGCAGTGAAGGACAATAATAATGCAATTATGACACAATTTTTTTTGTTTTTTGTTTAAATAGGGAGCTTAGATAATGTTGAAAAGCTTGAATGATACTGGATCAAATGGACACTTTTAATGAAAAAACAGCTTCAACAATTAAAAGTAAAGTTAAATCTAATGTAAAGTACATGAATTATTGATAATATATCAACTATGTTCAAGAAAGAAAACTATCGGGATAAAATTTCAGGCACTGCTGTTGAGATCCCTGTTTAATGTGCTGCTGCAGACAACAAACAAGCAGGAGCCGAGGGGGAATGACATTATACAAATTAATGGTATATCTTCATCAACAAGGTTGTATCTTGTCCTTGGGCGTCTTGTCTCCAGAACTTATCAAATAACATCACCTAATGTACCCGGGTACATTAAAGTGGTGAGCCTTTTAAAAGATTTTATATGTTAGTTGAAATGGCATGATGCAGTAGCAGGGCTAGCTTGGATTAGCATATGTTTCTCTGCAGGAAATCAAAATGAAGGCTTATTGTGGCCTGAAATCACTACAAGTATATATATTGAGAATATGAGGCACAGTATTAAACTAATTTGCAAATTTACCTTTTCTTTCTCTACTTTAGAGTTATTGGTGCTATGAGTAATTTTGAGGAATTCCGGAAAGCTTTCAACTGTCCAGAAAATACTACAATGAATCGAGGTGCAGATTCCTGTCGAATTTGGTAGCGCTTCCTCTGGAATCCCTGTACAGAAATCATGCCTTCATTTTACTGGCCTACTATTGCTTCAGAATTACATTGATCAAGTGCAGACCAATATTATTTTGCTTTGTAACATTCCCATCCTGGGACCCAACCAGCCGCCATTATTGAATTGCTTGTTCACAAGCACGGGATAATTCAAAATGTAGTATGTAGAAAAGAACAGGCAATTTTTTTTTAAAAAAAGGTGTCCTTTATAAAGTTCATTACATGTACAAATTTGTACTATAGTATTCTCATTGCTATGAAGCAAAGCAACATCAACATTACAAGATTACAATGGTACATTTATATATTTTTTATAGCAGTTATGCTGATATTTGAAATTAGTCAAACTATATCTCCAATTATATAAACCCAGATGTTCAGTAAAATCTTCTGATTTTCAGCAGTCACATGCATCTTTCATCTGCCTTCTTGAAATGTTGATCAGAGAGATATTTGGGACCGGAACTTTAAGAATAAGGCCACTTAATCTATTCTCTTTCCATTGCTACTCTGAGCTACATGGTGGAATATACAAAGGAGGCCCACTGGGTTCAGTCTCGGCTTCAGACGTGCATGTTTTCTTCTACCTAAGATTGCACATGCATAGCTGTATGATGCACACAAACTCACAATCTATTTTTCAATTACAATTACAAATCGAAAAAATTGTATTACAAATATTTTACCTGAATTGTGGACATCATTTATTTTATAATATAATAAAAAAGTAAGTTTGAAACAGAAATATACTCAGATGCATGATCCTATAATATCAGTTTAAGCACTTTCTCCACATATAGATATTGTAGCTATTTGCCTCCACATTGGTTAAATATATAAAAATGTAGGTACATCATTAAATCTTTGCTCAGCTAACTGCACATTGGCCTCATGACAGATGCTTTTGATAATACTCAAAGAGTAAATTTTCTACATGAGTGAGTTTAATTTACCTAATATACTGATCTAGGCTTGAACAGAATTGGGAAAAGAGGCAGATGTTTTGTACCATTACAGAATGTCTACTTGTTTTAAGAAGTGAAGAACTTCCTCCCAGATACCACCACTTCCTTGCAAAGTAGAAAGGAGGGATCCTTGATGCTCTCTGAACTTGCTTGTTTTCTTGCAGATGTTTCATTACCCAAACTAGGTAACATCATCAGTGCTAGTAAGGTGTGCAGTTTGCTGTCAGTTTATATATTCTAGTAGCTTGCCTTGTCATTGTTGGTGGGGCTGGTCTTAGAAATTCTTTGGTTGGGCTGTTTACTGTTGGCTTCTTTGGCAGTTTCTTGATTGGAGTATTGTTTAATGTTGGTTTGATGCTAATTTTGGAGTAGGAAGGATTAAAGGGGCAGCTTCTGATTGGAACCTAGCAATACTTTGTCTTAAGAGAGTTCCAAACTTGGGTTACGCTGGGTGTAGTGCCAGAATTGATTCAATAATTCCAGAGTTTTGCAGATATATTGGAAATGACAATGCCAATTCATAGCTGCAGATGGACTCAAGGGAGTCAATTATAATTTACTTCAAAAGTCTTGACCATTTCTAGTATTTTAGGTTTAGGAATCTCTACTGCAAAAGAGACCAAGGAGGGCATGCAGTGACAGCATTGATTCTGTGGAGACCATTACTGTAGCAGGGTCACTTTAGAGCCTTAGGATCACAATATAAAAAGATCCCATAGATAGAAAATGTTAACTATATTATAGTAACAGTAGGATTCTTGCTAGTAAAGATTTCAGTAAAGAGTGAGATAATCTTATATCATTTTCCTGTTTTTTTTAATTGCTTAAATATATCCATTTTTAAAATTGTTTGAAATAGGATAATTTTGTTAATGATTATATAATATAACCATTCTCAAATCACAGATGAAGATAATTGAAATGACAGTGGTTTTATATATCGTATGACATTTTCTACTGTTATCTGCTTTTGAGTTCACGTGAAAAAAAATGTGATAAGTTTTTAACAAATAAATCTTGCAAGACTACTCCAATATATTTTTTGTTTTCTTTTTCTTAATGTGAATAAGAAGAAAGGTATCCAAGTACCAAACACTATTCAGTTGCCTATAAAGGAGCATCTGTGCTAATATTATATGGGCAGGGCAATTCTAAATCGAGTCTTTAAAAGGTAAAGGTTTCCCTGGTCCAGTTGTGTCTGACTCTAGGAGGCAGTGCTCATCTCCTTTTCCAAGCTTGGAGGAATAGAATAACAGAGTTATTATAGGTCATCTAGTCTTATAGGTCATCTAGTCCAACCCTCTTTTTCCAAGCAGGAGACCCTATACATTTCTGATGGATGGCAGTCCAGTCTCTTCTTGAAAGCTTCCAGTGATGAAGCTCCCACAACTTCTGAAGGCAAGCTGTTCCATTAGTTGATTGTTCTCACTGTCAGAAAATTTCTCCTTATTTCTAGGTTGACTGTCTCCTTGATCAGTTTCCTTCCTTTATTCCTTGTGTGGCTTTCAGGTGCTTTGAACAGCCCCTCAAATATTGCAACACTGCTATCATGTCTCCCCTGGTCCTTCTCTTCACTAGACTAGCCATGCACAGTCCCTGTAACTGTTCTTCATATGTTTTAGCCTCCAGTCCCCTAATCATATTTGTTGCTCTTCTCTGCACTCTTTCTAGAGTCTCAACTTCTTTTTTATAGTGTGGAGACCAAAACTGGACTGGGCTTTTATGATCATATTTTTCAAAGTTTTCTAACCTTCTTGAGTTGTTTTCCCCTTTAGGATTTTCATCCAGCAAATCTTTCCCAAGCTCTCTCTGAATTTGTTAAAATCAGCTCTTTTAAAATCTAAGACTCTGGTATCATTATATTCTATTTCTTGTGTTTGCATTATATTGAATTCCAGAATGACATGGTCACTCCCTCCCAAAGTTTCTGTCCCTCTAGTTCCCTCCTCTACCTTTTGGATAACAAAAGTTGTCAGCTAGTATGGTCAGGAACCTATTTGATTTCTCATTTGGTGTAAAATTAGTTTTCCACTTGATGTCAGGGTAACTGAAGTCCCCCATTACTATTATACTGTGTTTCCTACATATATTTGTTAGTTGATTAGCAAAAAGTACATCTATTTTTTCTGCTTGGTTGGGTGGCCTGTAATATACACCTATGGCAAGGTCATTCTTTTTTTCTTTTATATTGATCCATATGCATTCTAGGAGGTTTTCATCTTTGATCTCATGCATTTCGATAACAATATAGTGGTCTTTTACATATAGTGCGACTCCACCTCTTCTTTTATAGGGTCTGGTTTTTTTGAACAGTTTGTATCCTTCTATCAGTATGTTCCAGTCATGGTTTTCATCCCACCAAGTTTCAGTAATTCCAGCTATATCATATCTACCTTCATGTATTAATAATTCAAGTTCACCCTGTTTGTTCCCCAAATTTTGAGAATTTGTATATAAGCATTTGAGCTGAGGGAGCCAGCATTGTCTGAAGATACCTCTACAGTCATCTGGCTGACATGACTATATTCTGAGGTGCTCGGAACGCTGTTACCTTCTCACCAAAGTGGTGCCTATTTATACATTTGCATTTGCCTGCTTTTGAACTGCTAAGTTGCCAGGAACTGGGGCAAGAATGGAAGCTCACCCAGTCACATAGGTCTCGAATTGCCAGCCTTCTGGTTGACAAGCTCAGTGTCTTAGAAACTAGGCCACTGCACCCCTTAGCCATAGTTAAATATTGTGCTCACAGTGCAGCACAAATAACAGGAAAGGATAGGGTTATTTACAAAAGACTCTTTTTGGATTATGAAAATATTAATCATAACTTTGCTATATCTCTATATTCATTGTAACAAAAAATCTGAATACAAATTCTATACTTGGCCACCCTAAGCACCTTTTGCGTGCTTATTTCCAACTAAGATCTATGCTAAGAGACCTCAGGGGATGAGAGTTTTCTCATAATTTGTACTAAAGTAAGAATTGTTTTCAGATAGATGCTTCTAATATTAAGAGAAAAATGTACCTGAAGGATTTTGTCTTTTTTTAAATGGAAATAAATTCAAAACATGGTTTCATCTTCTGATTGTTATCTGAATGTTGTTAAAACAGATAATATTAAAATAACTTTAGCCATAATACTAAACTCTGCTGTGTTTTTCTCTTGTTCTTCTTCTTGCAGAAAACCTGAAAACATTTATAGGGAGCTAGCCAACCAGAAATTCAATATGGCTCATTTCTAAACATTTAAATGGTGAGACTAGAGCTTTGATATGCCCTAATAACCTTATCTCATCAGATAAAAATCATAATTTAGAATGTGGCATATTTGCCTTTGACACAATGTTTATATTTACCTTCACAAGAAAAACAAATTATGCCTCTCAGTTGCACATTTTGTGATAGTAGGAATCCATGGAAACTGGTCAGTCAAGCATCAAAAGAGCCAGGAGGCTTGAACTACATTAATTAACTTCCTCTTTGACAGGAGGAATTTTTTTTTTAAATAGATGATGTCATAGGATTGGGGGTAGGAAATTACCTTGACACTGAAGTTTCTACCTGAAAATAAATAGCTAATGCAGCCTAAAGAGAGTTGATTCAACAAAAGATGCAGTCATCTTTTGCAGCTATGTAGCATTAAATGCTCTAATGCTAAACATAGTTTAGTTGTGGGACTATTTTCTTATAATTTTTTCCACAAAGTCCTCTCTAGGTAGGTTGTAAAATAGACTTACCTGAATCCCTAGAAAGAGTATTGAATTTTAGAAAACTAATACTGAAAACAGAATATTGAAAAAGCATTGTTTTAAGATGATGCATATGAAAGGAAGAGTGGAAGGAGAAAATGGAGTATAAATATATTCAAAAGCAATATAATGCAAATAAACAAACACATATTTGACATTTCTAAACAGAATTGGTCTTCAGCATTCACATTTCCCAATTACATTTCACATTTCCCAATATGTTCCATGTCCATCTGAGCACATGTGCTGACTACACATATACTTTGCTGCACTTGCTGTACTTGTTTGTTTATATGTAATATTCTGAAAGATTTCTGATCATTTGTTTTCATGAATAACAAAAAAAAATATTGAACAAAAATGAGAATTAGTCAGGCAAAGAGAGAATCAAGGGAAATTTCTTGCCTTAAATTCTCTTCACACAATTGTCTCAATTCCATTGTATTATTAATGAAAATGCTGTAGTAGTTCACTTTAATAAAAATCCTGCCATGCAGTTCTTTTGACAGAAAAGAAATTCTTGGTTCCCCTCCATTTAAATCATTTAATAGAAGATTTTCTCAAGGTTACTAGGATTAACACTACAGTTTCTCTTTGATTGTCATCGGATATAATAGTTTTCCAGGTGCTGAGAAAAAAGGAAAGACTGTCATAACTGGACATAAGTCAATGCTTACATGTTTGGATTAGTAGTGCTGTTATAAAAAAATGGTCTCTAAGTATTTTGGACATGATTTTCTTCAGACTATAGTTCCTGTGCAGCAATTTGTTTGATAATGTACACAAAATAAGTTGCTGTAATTTATTTATAAATGCAATTTAACTCAAGTCCATGGATTAAAACATGCAAGTTTGTTTCCTTCAATAGATGGGCCATGCTCATTACAAAGGTCACTCACACATGTGTACAGGTACAGCAATATTATCAACACTCAAAATATCTAGACAACGTCCCAATAGAAATAGTTACAGTGTATAACTATAGTATATGATAACTATACAGTGCATTGAAATTATTCAGACTCCCCTTCACTTTTGTCAATTTTGTTATGCTGTAGCCTGATTCTACTTGTTGAAATTAATTTTTTCCCATTAAACTACACTCAGTATCCCATAATGACAATCTGAAAACAGAATTTTAGAAATGTCTATAAATTTCTTAAAAAGAAAAAAACTGAAATACCACATTGGCATAAGTATTTAGACTTTTTTGAAGCAACTTTGGCAACAATTACAAGCTTGAGTCTTTTTGGGTATGACGCAACAAACTTTGCATAACTGGATTGGGGGATTTTCTGGCATTCTTCCTTGCAAATCTTTTCAAGCTGAGTCAGGTTGGATGGTGACCATTGGTGGACAGCCATTTTCAGGTCCCTCCAGAGCTGTTCAATAGGGTTCAAATCAGGGCTCTGGCTGGGCCACTCTAGGACATTCACAGAGTTGTCCCTAAACCACTCCTGTGTTGTCTTGGCTGTGTGCTTAGGATCGTTGTCATGTTGGAAAGTGAACCTTTGGCCCGTCTGAGGTCCTGAACATTGTGGAACAGGTTTTCACTGAGGATATCCTTGTACTTTGCTCCATTCAACTTTCCTCAATCCTGACCCATCTCCCAGTCCCTGTTACTGCAAACACCCCCACAGCATGATGATTCCAGCACCATGCTTCACTGTTGGGATGATATTGGGCAGGTGATGACATAACCTTTAGAATTGAGGCCAAACAGTTTAATCTTGCATTCATCAAACCAGAGAATCCTGTTCCTCATAGTCTGAGAGTCCTTCAGGTGCTTTTTTGCAATCTGCAAGTGGGCTTTCATGTGTTTTGCACTGAGGAGAGGCTTCCATCTAGCCACTCTGCCATAAAGCCCAGATCGGTGCAAGGATGCAGTGATGGTTGTCCTTCTGGAACTCTGTCTCATCTCCACATAGGATCTCTGGAGCTCAGTCAGAGTGATCATTGGGTTCTTAATCGCCTCTCTTATTAAGGCCCTTCTCCCCCAATTGCTCAGTTTGACAGTGCAACCAGCAACCAAAAGTCTTGGTTGTGCCAAACTTCCTCCATTTGAGAATTATGGAGATCACTGTGCTCTTAGGAACTGTCAGTGCAGCAGAAATTTTATTGTAGCCTTCCCCAGATCTGTGCCTTGCAATAATCCTATTTCTGAGGTCTGCAGGCAGGTCCTTTGACCTCTGGCTTTTGCTCTGCTACAGCATGCATTGTTAGCTGTGAGGCCTTCTTTTTTAAAAAAATATATTTTATTAATTTTTTACAATAACAAT